ATGACATGAGACAAAGTATATGTGAACTGCTGTATGGAAAGTGAATTTGCTCTGTAAATCTTCACCCAAATAAAAATAAATAAATAAATTGAAAAAAGAAAAAAAAATATTGGTAAACATATGAAAAGAGATTCAGCATTAATGATGACAAATGAATATGCAAACCAAGACAATGATAGATCTGTTTGTTTTCTTAACTGATAAAAATGGCACAATTTTACAGAGATTGATAAATACCTAATTTAAATGAGAGCACAGAGGATAATTGGCACAAATATCACTGGTGAGAATATAAAGTGGTTTAATCTTTTTAAAATGGGCATACCCTTTGACCCAGTACTTTTGCTTCTTGTGCCATATCCTGAAGATACAATTGAACGGTAACCTACCCACTGCCATCTAGTTGATTTTGATGCACAGTGACCCTATAGGGCAGAGTAGAACTGCCCCATGGAGTTTCCAAGGCTTTAAGTCTTTACTCAAGCAGATTACATCATCTTTCTCCTGCAGAGCACCTGGTGGATTTGAACCACCAACCTTTAATGCTTTAACCACTACTCCTTCAGAGCTCCTAATTGGACAGTAGTACAAGGATATTCATCGTCATATTTTAATTCTTCAAATTAGAAGTAATGCATATTTCTATCAATAGGTTATTTGTTAAATTAATTAAAATTAATTATCGAAACTTTAAACTCAAAAAACCAAACTCACTGCCATTGAGTCGATTCCAACTCATAGCAACCCCCATTGGGTTTGCAAGACTGTAAAACTTTATGGAAGCAGACTGCCCCATCTTTCTTCCATGGAGTAGCTGGTGGTTCGAACCACCGACCTTTTGATTAGCAGCCAAATCCTTAGCCACTATACCACCAGAGCGCCATTCAAAAAAATACATAGTATTAAGTGTATTTCCTCTTCCTAATGTGAGAAGATACCCATAATATATTGGTTAAATTTATTATTGTGATGGTTATTGGGTTCTGTCCGGTAGAGTTTGTTTGACACACAGTGACCCCATGTAACAGCATAATTTCCTGATAGGGTTCCCTAGGCTGCAATCTTAACAGGAGTAGATTGCCACGTATTTCTTCCCAGAGCCATTGTGTGGGTTTGAGTATTCTAAAGTGTGAATTTTGTTATCTCTGAATGATGGGACAAGGGTGATTTTAACTTTTTAACAATAATGATAATATATCCTGATATCTAAAATTTTTATAATTGTATAGTCAAAGAGAACAATAAACTCATTTTCATTTTCAATTAACAGTATCTTACTTTTAGTGATATTCTTAAAATAAGGACTAAAATCTTTTAAAATTAAGAGCAAAGTATAAGAAACTTTAGTAAATATGGTAGAAATAGACTTTAAGCAGTTTATTTAACCAATTAAAAGCCATAATTTCCTGTAAACTGAGGGCTAATAATACCTATACATACATAAGATTTGTTGCAAGAATTAAATGAGATTGTACATATAAAGTGCCTTCACCTTGTAGCTTCTCTGCTACATTTGTTGCCATAATAAGAAGAAAGAGATATCAGATGATAAATTCAAAAGTTAATACTAAGCAAAAAAAAAAAAAAAAAGGAGGGAAATACGTCTTTCTAAAGTTTCTTTCAAATACCTGTTTGAAGACTTCTTACCTATTACATTCCAGATAAACCTCTCTCAAACACAGCACTAGACCAATAACTGACCTTTCTTGTTAAGCCAATCTGCAATCTATCCAAACTTTACCTTCTTCCCCAATTCTGTCCAAGTTCCACACTAGGAAAAGAGTGAAATGCAAGTTCAAGATGAAGGGTATGACCAGAACTTTTCCTTAGAATAGAATAATTGCGTTCAGGCCACTAACTGACTGACACACCAACCTAGATATAAGGAATTATAAAGACCCTTTAGAAGAGTCACCCAGTGAGATGTTTCAGAATTACTGTTTTAGGGTAAGACCTTCCTGAATGTTAGTCTATGTCATATTAGTGCCTGTGACTTAACAGAGTAAGAACTTCCAGTGAAATGGTTGTAGAGATTACCCAGTTAATGTTGTTTGCCCTGTGTTTACCTATGATAGTCCCTATCTTTTACATTGTTTTGCTCTACCATCATATTTCTAAAAATAAATCGTGTGTTTATTTGCTTGTACTTTCAGAATACATTAAGATGGCAGATCACTATGTGCCAGTGCCTGGAGGACCAAACAACAACAACTATGCAAATGTGGAATTAATTCTTGATATCGCTAAAAGGATCCCGGTACAAGTAAGAGATCCTGATGTCTCCTTTAAAGCCATATTCAGCCATTTTAAAGTTAGGCACAAGGGAGATAGAAAAACTGGAATTTTGTTTAAGGGGGGAATATTGGTGGTTCACGAGCCCTGGTGGTACAGTGCTTAAGCACTCAGCTGCTAACCAGAAGGTCAGTGGCTTAAACTCATTAGCAGCTATGTAGCAGAAAGATGAGGAAGTCTCTCCTGTAAAGATGAGAGCATTAGAATCCTATGGGGCAGTTCTCTTCTGTCCTGTAGGGTCTCTGAGTTTTGGTATTGGTAATTCAGTGGTAGAATTCTTGCCTTCCTGCGAGAGACCAGGATTCAGTTTCTGGTAAATGTACCTCATGTGCAGCCACCGCCTGTCAGTGGAAGGTTATATGTTGCTATGATGCTTAACAGGTTTCCTCAGAGTTTTAAACTAAAACAGACTAGGAAGAAATGCCTGGTGGTCTGCTTCTGAAAATTAACCAGTGAACACTCTGTGAATCACAACAGTTTGATCTACAGCCAATCTTGGAAATGGAATACAACTGGGCAATGTGTGGTTCCATTGTGCATGGGATTGCCATGAGTTTCAAGCCAACTTTACAGCAGCTAATAGCAAGTTGTATTTAAAGCATCTTTGTTGAAAACCCTTAGATAGGATAACTGAAAGAGAAAAGGAAGAATGGAATCACAATAAAGTAAATACAGAGGGCTGTAAGGATCTTTCAGAGATTATTTACTCCATTCATGTCACGTTCAAAATGTCCCAAATATATAAAAGTTACCTATTTTTAATGGAATATTCTTAGTCCAGGATATGGTGGTGCCTCAGAGTAGCTGTTTTTTTCCCTAACACATTAGGTTAAGAAGATTAAATATCTTAAAACACAGGGAAAACTATATACTTGAATGGCAGTATAACTACTGGGTATAGTTGGGTAGCAAAAGAAATTAAATCTGTGAAAAATAACCAGTATTTCTAGAAAAGACTATACAGAGTCCTACTTGAAAGACCAAGAATTGAGTTTCCGCAAGAGCAACAAGACTAGATAGAGTCTTAATTTCAAGTTGATTTTGACCCCTTCAGTGGTTTTGCCACAATGTATTACTTAATGTTGTTGCCTAAACAGTTTGCCAATAATCAAGCATAGAGGCTGAGTTAAGCATTAGGCTGCTGTGGAGCTATTGTAGTTCGTGAAATAGGGCCAGTCTTGGTAGATATTAAGGTAGTTTATGGCTGTTTCTTGGTCTGAATTTTAAGAATGAACCTTATTGTGCTCCCTTATAGGCAGTGTGGGCTGGTTGGGGTCATGCTTCTGAGAACCCCAAGCTTCCGGAACTTCTCTTGAAAAATAGCATTGCCTTCATGGGTAAGACTTTCTGACATACTATTTCTGTCTTTTTGATTGTTTTTGTCATTTTTACCCATATTCTTCTGTTTAACATATACCAGGGCTCTTTTTATTAATCAGCAACTTGTAAGAGTAACCCTCTTCATTTCTTACATCCTGCTTATCCCACTTCATTTTGCATTTTTTGTCTTGGGTTCTTTTCCATGAGGTATAGGTGAAACTCTGATATCCAAAATACTCATTTTTTAATTTGCAGCTGACTGTATGAAAACAATGTGGAGAAGGGATCTATTTATAAATAACAAAGGTAATTGAATACTTAAAGATACTCTGGCAGTATGCCTTCAGTGTGACTCAATGCCTTTGCATTTAAGCATGTAGTTTATATTCCTATGGAAGAGAGCTACTTTTGACTTTTCTGTTCTCATTATGACAGCGAAAACTTGAGGTTATATGGCTTAAAGTGTTTCTCTCTCTGTCTCAGAGACCTTCCACTGATTGATTCAATTCCAATGACTGATTATGCCTTGTGAACCCTATTATAGACAAATTTCTTCTTTGACTCCCCAAAGACCAAGGAGAGCATGATACTTCACATTAGAACCATGGAACTTTACAGTCCCTATTTTAGTTTACTGATTAAAAAAACTTGGGTAATCTGGATCATGAAGGATGATAAAATTAGAGTAAAATTTATCAGGAATTTAATTAAACATATATGTAGATTTATTGAGCTCTCACTGTGCAAAAAGCTTATGTATTAGCTACTGTAAAGGGTGCAAAGAAATAGCAGTTCTCATAGTCAAGTTTATGATTTCTGTCGTTTGTGATAGAGTGAGGATAAAACAAATACAAAAATAATTGTAGTACTAGCCAAAACTTGGAAACAACCTAGATGTCCAACAACTGAGGAATGGATAACCAAACTTTGGTACATTCACACTATGGAATACTATGCAACGCTAAAGAATAATGTAGAATCTGCAAAACACCGCATAACGTGGATGAACTTGGAGGACATTATGCTGAGCGAAATAAGTCA